GTCCGTCTCTCAATACCGTCTCACTTCCTGTCTGTGGCTCCGAGCTCATTGGTTCCTCGTCATTAGTTTCTCCTGAGTGCAGAGGTTCCCTCGCAGTCGGTACTCAGACCCCCAACGTGAGCTTTGTCTTCAGTGTCGTGTTTCTGTTTTGAGGTTGTTAAGATCAAACTGGGGGCATTATAAATTACAATCAGTCAATCGGCCAGCTCTGGTTCTTCCTTTGTTCTTACAGTTACCAGTTAGTCTGGAAAACCACTCACAGAGTTCATTTGCTGGGGACTATTTTCAGCGGCAGATGAATCCACATTTGGTGCTCTAGTGAGCTGCAGTACGTGTACAGAGAGTTTTATTAGGGACGGTCCAGTGTGTAACATCGATCTGTTGTTAGAAATATAATCTGATATTTAAAGCTCTGTTTGTGTTTAATCACCTGACTGTAGGAACCATTGGGTTTCTGTTGCCTTAGAATGAGCTGGTTGTAATCTGCATCTACACTGCTAGAAGCACTTATTTTCTCTCATCATCTCAACTATTTAAAATGAGTTCATTGTTCAACTGATGGTGAAGTTGTGATTTATTGAACGCTTATCTCTTCAAAATGGCCGCTTGTTCAAGAAACTAAGAAAACAAAGACATGTTGCAGAAAATAGTTCCTTAATGCAAACATGTGCTCTCCTTGCTGTGAACTGTGTCTCCATATATTGTTATATTTAAAAGGTGTGTCCTCACACGGCTTTATTATAACTGTACTATTTAAATCAGATCAATAATCGGAGAAGGAGCTTTGATCAATGCTGCACATACAGTTACTTCTGATAAGGACTCTGATAGTCAGGTTGTCTCTATTGTGTTTATTACACACACACACACTCTGACTCACTCACACACACTCACACAGTAACAGTGTCTGACGAGGTGATTTCCCAGCAGAACAGGACTGTGTGTTTAAAGGCCTGGGGCAGGGGCGGGGGCGTTCAACATACATACATACTGAAAGAGAGAGAGAGAGAGAGAGAGAAGATAAAAGAAAGAAAAGGGGGGGAGAGAGAGAAAGAGACAATAGAGCAAGAACAGAGAGGAATGAAAGACGACGGCTGCAGGACGACGGGAGCAGGAAGACAGAGGTGAAAGACAGCTGTGGTTTCCATGGCGACGAGGAAACACAAAACAGAGGACAGGAATGTAAAGAGAGAGAGAGAGAGTGGAGAGGAAATAAGTGGAAACATGAAAGAAAGAGAGGAAGAGAGAGGGGAAAGAATGAAGGGAGGAGGAGGTTCAGGGAGAACAGTAATGAAAGGAAAAAGACAGAAAGAGAAAATGTGCAGCAGTGCTCGAATGCCAAGGATGAGTTAGAGGAGAGAGAGGTGGAGGAGAAAGAAATAATAAGAGAGAGAGAGAGAGTCAGAGGAGGTCTGGGGAAGAATGAAAGAATAACAACAGCAAAGAAGTAGAAAAGAAAGGAGGAATAAGAAGAGAGAATTAAAGTGTATGAAAGACTGAAGGAAAGAAATAAAAGAGGAAAAGAGCAAAGGAGGGGAGGTAAGAAGGAAATATTAAAGGAAATGAGAGAGAAAAAAGGATGAGAGGAAAATGCACGAGTGGAAAAAAGGAGGATGAAGAAAAAAGAGCGGGAAAGAGAAACTGAGCTCGTAAAATGACGCTGGAAAGGAGAGGAGGAGACAAATGGTTTGACCACAAAACGAGGGATGGTGGAGAGAGAGATTTATTTAATGTAATCTGAATGAGAAAGAGAGAATAAAGAGATGGATGATGGAGAGAATAGTTTAAATGTTTATATGTTACTCACAAATACAAATAAAAACAATCAACAATATACAAACAAAATAAAATCCAAAAATAAAACACTAAACTAGAATTTAATCACTGATTTTGAATTCATCTTTTAATGTAACATTTAATCATTTATAAATGAAAAAAAATTCATTTTAACATTTAAATCAATGAAAAAGAACGAGTATTTTTCTTTGTTATTTGTCTGTTATAACAAAAAAATAATTCCCCATAATTTTGTAATTTTTCAATAATGTTCTATTAATTGATAAAAGGAGGGATGGAGAGAAAGAGAGAGGAAGATAAACAATATGAATGATTTGTTTTTCTTAAAAACAGAAAAGTTGAGTAATCCCGGCTTTTAGTCCAAAAACACTGACTACATTTCCCATAATGCACCTGGATAGAGTCTGCTGAACCTTCAGGTGTAAAATCTGTGCTGTTCTTTCTGCCTCTGTCTGACTCTGCTCTCTGATTGGCTGCCCTCAGGTGGGGTCGGGGCGGAGCTAAGAGATGGCGGGCGCGTCAGTGAAGGTGGCGGTGCGAGTCCGCCCGTTCAACTCCCGAGAGACGGGACGCAACGCCAAGTGTGTGATCCAGATGCAGGGAAATACCACCTGTAAGTGCACACACACACACACACAAACACACACCTATACATTCCTACATGCTAACAGGGGGGACTGTTCGTGTACCCCTATCAACAGGGACTGAATAGTTTTCTGGTTATTTTAAAAAAACAAAAATAGCATAGAAAATTTTCTTTTAAGGTCTTTTACCAGAATGTTACTTCAAATGTAATTTTTTTTTTTTTTTAAAGAAATTGCTAAGAGGGGACTTTTTTCCATTAGCGATGTCTACCTATCAAAGAGGGGACCACCATATACTGCAATGGAACTGCCTCTACCCATTCTTTCCTGATTCTCGATCAATATCCGTCAGTCTGAACACAGCGTACAGGAGGAACAGGAGTTGGCGTGCTCGTGGCTGTTCAACCACAGTTTAATTTGGAGCCGGTTGTCGGTTTCCATTCATAATATTTGTTCAGTTTCAGATATTCTGACTCAAACTTTGCTCATCCCGCCTGCGCTCATCATTATAACGTTGAAGGTTTAACCCGGACGCTGTGAAAACACTTCCTCACCGCCATGAATTCCTGTTGACGTCAGTGTTTCCAGGGTTCTCACGTGTCCTGGAAAACCTGGAAATTAAGAGACTACTTTCATATAAACACCTGGAAACTGGTTCAAATATCCTGGAACTAATCTGTGTCGTCCTTCAGTCAGATCTAGGCCTCAGATTACCGAAGTATTTAGTTTAAAACTGGACTGTTGGTAGGAGAAGCTGCAGGTTCGAGCCCCACCCACTGTGGTTAACCGTACGTGTAACAAACACTTTAACTTTCAACAGGCTGATCGGTGAGAAGATAAAATCAGTTCAAATAGAATTCTACTTCATTTGAACTGGTACTTGGGGCCTCAGTCATGTTACTGTTAGAGGAAACCCTAACTGTAGTAAACTCTATGGAGAGGACACAGCGGGGACATCTGAGTGTCTCATAAACTCTGCGTCAATAAAAAGAGTTAATGTGTCAATACAAGACCTTCCAGTAAATGATATGATGGTTTGAATAACATGGTGACATTGATAAGAGGAGGAGATACGTACTACAGACCCAGCATTGTATAAAACTATCAGTGTCTGTTATCAGTATCAATATTCACAGGAACTAATCGATGTTCACTGAGTTCACTGTTTGTGCTCATTGATCAGTTTATCAGCTGTTCTCTGTTATTGATATTATTGAATATAATCTGAAGTTTACTCAGTGACAGAAAGGGGCTCCCTGAAGGAAAAAGGTTGGCAAGCACTGGATAATACACTGACTGTGGATAAATACCTTGTTTGTGCTGCTTTTAAAGCAAACAGGATAAAATAATGTTGATTCTTTGCCTGTGAATGTCGTTGTGTGAAAGACTTAAGAAACCATCGTCACTGTCTCTATGTGAACATGTCAGTCTGTATCAGTTACATTCTGTCGGATGATTTCAGTCTCTGAAAGGCTCCTTCCTTCAGTTTGCATGTGGTAAAACAGGCCTCAGCAATCCCAGAATGCTTCTGCCCGTCACGTGACCTCTGAACCACTCAGAGGTTATTTATAGACTTTTTCTCTGCGACTCGTCTGTTTTTAGCAGCCGTCTGAACTCACATCCACTCAGATATTCACACAGTGAACGCGGTAACGATGGAACGTGTCTCTGTGAACGTTGAGCACATTTCAACCACGTCGGGTATTAAAGGTCTGATAAAGTCCCCTCTCTCCTTCCAGGTATCTCCAACCCCAAACAACCCAAAGATGGAGCCAAGAACTTCACCTTCGACTATTCCTACTGGTCCCACACGACGGTAACCTCACACACACAGAGAACCAGTCATCAGATCACCCAGCAACAGCAATGATAACCAGAAGTGTGTGTGTGTGTGTCTGCAGGCTGATGATCCGAGCTTTGCGTGTCAGAGGCAGGTGTACAAGGACATCGGAGAGGAGATGCTGCTGCACGCCTTCGAAGGTAAACCGGTTCGCTGCTCAATGACCACAAACACAAAGACCAGTGACAAAGATAGTGCTGATGCTAACGATTTAACTATTTTGGTAATCTATTATTTGTTTTTTTGAGTTTTTTAAAGAATAAAAGTCCAAATTCTCTGATTCCAACTCCTCAAATGTAAATATTTTGAGGTGTCTTCAGGCATCTGTGACAGCAAACTGAATTTATTTGTGTTGAGGACGTCAGCTTCTTTCTGACATTTTATGGACCAAACAACGAATCGTTTCCAGTTTTCACTTTGAGATTAAATCTGTGAAACATGATGTGTGAATCAGTCCAGTGTGAGTGAGTCCGACAGGAAGCAGATCCATCAGGATTATAAACAAATATCACGGGATGCTATCGATCATTGAGGATCAGTTTGTGTCTTCAGTTCTAAAGTGATTAATATTATTGTTGTTTTCCAGGATACAATGTGTGTATTTTTGCATACGGACAGACGGGTGCAGGAAAGAGCTACACCATGATGGGCAAACAAGAGCCTGGACAGGAAGGGATCATACCACAGGTAAACACAGGTGGATTTAAGGCTGCAGATATCAGTTAATGAAGCAATCGAGTATTCTATTGAAAGCTATTCCAGCCCTCCCCTTTAAGGAAGGTGGAGTCTGGTGGGTTAGCTGTAGGCAGGAGTCTTTCCTGGTGTGTGAGGGACAGTGACGTTACTGTAGTTGGCATAAAGTGTGTGGATAAGTTCAGGTTGCAGTGTAATAGTTACTGAAAGGCTGTGTGTGTTTGCTGCCACAGTAAAGAAATAAAAGTCTGTGTTTATGTAACGTTAACGTTCCTACGATGTCTTCTTGTACTGAGTAGGTCCAGACTGTGGACAGCTAGTTAGCTAGTTAGGTACGAGGCAAGTTAAAGACAATTAAAACAGCCTAAACCGAAGATACATATTTCAGAGCTTCAGAGCTGGAAGCTGCAAGCAATCAGAATATTGATCCTGCAGATAAACAGTGACTTATAGCTGCTAAGTAGGTAGAGTTATTGTGCTAGGCTAGTTCAGTTTAAAACAGACACTGTACAGAGTTTGCATTTTGTTTTCTGATTGAAATGATCCCAAACTTTGGACACTTTCTGTTGCTCTCTGTGACCTGTCTCCGCCCTGGTTGGATTTATGCCTCTGTGTCTGAGTATGTCTCTCCGTTCATAACTCAGTGTTTATTTATCATTAATGAAGGCAAACACAAGATCCTGAAATACAACTAACCTGTAGAGGATGAGAACACGATGTATAAAGGCTTGTTTGCATTGTGGTCAGATGGCAGAACCAGCTTGAACAATAACGTGTCTGTTTTTTATTCATTTTGTTCTTATAATTATGAGCTAATAAGTCGTTAACTTAGAGAAACAAAGCAGCATCATTGAAGTGGAATTAAACTAAAGCGTTTTTAATGATCTTGTCTGTAGAGGATTCTGGTTTCTTCTTCCTGCTTTGTGGTGGGACCATTAAACCTAAAGCAGCCCTGCAGATTAGACACAGATTTTATGTCTGGTTGCATTTCTGAGAAAGCACAGCAGGACTTTTGGAAGATGCAGATGCAGAATCATAAATCCACCTTTAATGGTATTTGATCAGTGAATAATCTGATGGATGGTCCTCTATCTCTCTGTCTCCAGCTGTGTGAGGACTTGTTTCAGAGAACCGGAGAAAACACTGATCCTGACCTGACCTACTCTGTGGAGGTAAATTCTCTCTGATCCGTTCATTCAAACTGCTTTATTCCAGTGAACGTTGATTGGCTGATCGCTGTCTCCTCCTCCTCCTCCTCCTCCTCCTCCTCCAGGTGTCCTACATGGAGATCTACTGCGAGCGGGTCCGGGATCTGTTAAACCCAAAGTCCCAGGGTACTCTGCGGGTCCGGGAGCATCCCATCCTGGGTCCTTACGTGGAGGATCTGTCCAAACTGGCTGTGACCGGATTCAGCGACATCCGTGACCTGATGGACGCTGGCAACAAAGCTCGGTCAGTCTTCACACAATATCCAGATATTAAAGACAAAACTAGAAAGAGGCTGCTGTTCCTGAAGGTCCAGGACTGTACCTTGCCTGGATGGTGGGTCATGCTGGGGCCTGAAGGCAGTTTGTCAGTGATTGATTATTTATTTCTGACTGGTTACTGATTACAGGACGGTTGCGGCCACAAACATGAATGAGACGTCGTCCAGGTCACACGCTGTCTTCACCATCGTCTTCACCCAGAAACGACGAGACCAGATGACCAGCCTGGACACTGAGAAGGTGTGTGCTGGTTCTGGTCTCGGTGTCCTTGTGGGGACTGAGCTATCCTACTGTACTTGCAGTGGTGTCGTTATGTCGCAGTGTTGTTTGTAATCAGGATTTTGGATTTGGACTTAACGATAATACTCTGTCTTCAGGTCAGCAAGATCAGTCTGGTCGACCTGGCTGGAAGCGAACGAGCAGACTCCTCGGGGGCAAAGGGCATGCGACTCAAGGTCAGAGGTCACACGTTGGTGTTGGCTTAATTAAAGTCTCATCAGTGTTTATCCAGATTTACTTGTTATTTGTTCCTGTTTACTGTATGTTGACTTTACTTTGCTGTATATTTGCGTGCAGGAAGGAGCAAACATCAATAAATCTCTGACCACATTGGGAAAAGTCATATCAGCTTTGGCTGAAATGGTAAGTCAACACAAACGTGTATTTATGCAAAATGATATAAAAAAAATACACAAAGAATGACTCCCCTTCTTCTGTCCTCTGCAGCAAAGTAACAAGAAGAGGAAAAGTGATTTTATTCCCTACAGAGACTCTGTTCTCACCTGGCTACTGAAAGAAAACCTGGGTAAGTGCGACTAGTATTCAGACCAGTAGCTTAGAGCGTATATGTGTAGGCAAATCCTGAAGTTAGCATCGCCCTGGTTCCTTCAGTGGGATTGGTCCATTGGATTTTGGATTAATGCTGAAAATATGCTCTGCAGTGAACAAAGGTTTATGATATTGACCTTGTTGACACAAAGAATTTGATTTTTGAAGTGTAAATGATCGGCAGAAGTAGAAAGCTAACGTTTAGCCTATAAACCAACTACAACACGGTTGAAAGACTTCACCACCTCTAATCTTTCAAGTCATGATTAAATCTTGTGATTAAAATCTACAAGTTGTTAAGTTTGAGTTAGAAAAGTTTGCAAGAGTGCGAGTATAAACACAACCAGGCTCTAAAGGTGGACTAGTAAGTGCAGAAGTATCTGTCCTTTTATAAGACATGTCAAATCCTTTAATAGTCACAGTTGGGGTATTTACTGACGTATTTTGTCGTAGACCAAAAAGTGAAAATCTAATAAAAAGGAGAGGATAAAACTGCAAATAGATATTGAAGTTCTGGATAACGTCACCCAACATGTAGATAGTAAACAATAAAGGGCCAAGAACAGACCCCTGGGGAACGCCGCAGGTGGTGTTTGACATTCCCAGCTGATACAGGAAAAAGTTCTTCCAGTCAGGTAAAACGTAACCAGTCTGGAACTCTACTGGTGATAATCTGAGGGCCGACAGAACCACCGCTGTTGGTGATAACAAGTTTTAATGTGTGTGTGCTTCAGGAGGAAACTCTCGGACGGCCATGATTGCTGCTCTAAGTCCTGCTGACATCAACTATGAAGAAACACTGAGCACTCTGAGGTCAGATATTGATCTAATGCTATCTGTGTACGATAAATAAAACCATTTTAATCAGATCTAACCAAAGCACCATGTGGTTCCAGGTATGCTGACCGTGCCAAACAGATCCGCTGTAACGCTGTGATCAATGAAGATCCCAACGCCAAACTGATCAGAGAGCTGAAGTCTGAAGTGGAACGACTGAGAAACCTGCTGTTCTCCCAGGGCCTGCAGGAGCTGCTGGACAACGCTGGTAAATACTCACCTTATACAGTGAACATGTACTGTGTGTACTCCTGATAATACATACATTATATAGATTATAATTATATATATATACATTATATAGAGTAAAGTATAACACCCTGGTACACATTACAGTGAAGGGGAGAGAGGGAGAGATGAACACCACTAATATAAACATTATTCTGTCTGTATTAGTGTCTATAGTCATGATATTATACATAATATATAAACAAGGTAATGTATTTTATAATGACACATTTTACAGTCTCACCTCTGCCTCTCTTCAGCAATCAGTTGCTACCAGATGTAGCCGGTTAGCTCCTGTTAGCTACAGCAACAACGCTGACATGTACAAGCAACACGGCCCTGGTGAACAATGTATTTTTGGGTAGCGTGTGTGGTTATTTAGACGCGGTATGCACGGTATGTCTATGTGCAGAATGTTTAGAGGCGTTATTTACAGACAACAGCAACTGTATATGTGTGTGTGTGTTGTGTATGAAGCAGATATTTACAAAAGCTGTTCTTTACAAACCAACATTACACAGAGATCAACCTGTTAAAAATGAAACGCTGATCCTCTCTCTCTCCCTTCTCCTCTCTCTCTCTGTTTCTTTCCTCTCTCTCTCTCTCTCTCTTTCTCTTAAAGTCAACAACAACAACAATGGCCCCGGTGGTGTCGCAGGTGTGTCCCCCTCCCCACTGCAGCTGGCAATCACAGCCAATGGGATTGTCGCACCTGAGAATGGCTCCGCCCCTCCAGGTGTGTGTGTGTGACTGATTCTGATAATGTTGTGGATGAATTTGATGTTTTAGAGGTTAAAGAAAAGTGACACCCACTTGATTTGTGATGTGACAAACTATGGACACATTATGAAATCTGTATTGATTATTTATGGTACAAAAGCTTTCATATGTATTGAGACAAAGAAGAATCTAAAGAAACAGTGATTTACTATTAAACACTGGTGAAAACATACTTATACTGTAATTTAATGTTCCTGTTTGCCACCGTTTCATCCTGACTCACCGTCACTGTCTTTATCTCCTGTCTCTGTGTGTCTCTCTGAATGTCCTCTTCACCTCCAGGTGCCGAGCCGACCTCTGCAGGTGAGGCACCCGCTGACCCCGACCACCTGATCGAGGACGTAGAGGACGGAGAGGAGGCGGACTCTGCGGACTCTGCGGAGCCCATCAGTAAAGAGGAGGCAGCTGAGATGCTGCTGGTACGATCAGACTTTGATGCTCCTGATGCTGGACTCTTGAATCCGGCTCGGACACTGATGAGGCCTCTGTGTGTGTGTGTTGCAGGAAACAGAGAAGATCATCGCGGAGCTTAACGAGACGTGGGAAGAGAAACTAAGAAAGACAGAATCTATTCGACTGGAGAGGTAACGTCACTAACTCACTGCAGTTGTTGTGCTTTTATAAAAGTCTGGAATGAAAAAGAGTTGAAGGCTGATGAGAGAGAACGAAGGGCGGGACTTGTCATTAATGAAACGTCTCTCTCTCTCTTTTTCCCTGTGTGTGTCTGTGTCTCTCGCCCAGAGAGTCCCTGCTGGCAGAGATGGGCGTGTCCATTAAAGAAGATGGAGGAACGCTGGGCGTCTTCTCTCCCAAAGGAGTGAGTTTACACGCGTCTCGGACAGCTAGCATCGTCATGACGACCGCACTGTAAACTTAATTTAAAGTTTGAAATAGCATTTACATGTTTATGCAAATAAATGTATTAACCAAAGGTACATATGCAAACAGGGACTGAAGCTCATACTCAAATGTACAACTGTGGCTTTAAGACTGTCAGTAAACATCGACGAGCCTGAAACAATACACAGAGCTTATATTAGAAATAATGAATGATGTTAACTCTCCGGCTGTAATTATACAACTGCACTGGAGCTAATTAATGTCTCAGATATTGTTCATTGTTCATCGTCGGATTCAAACAAAGCTTTTGAAACGTGTTGCAGACGCCTCACCTGGTCAACCTGAATGAAGACCCTCTGATGTCGGAGTGTCTCCTCTACTACATCAAGGAGGGGCTCACCAGGTCAGAGCTTCACCCGTGCTTACATTATTGATCTCGATTGATTGATGGTTTTAGAAAATAGTGAAGAATGAACTTCATTATTTCTTTATATTCAGTTGGAAGCATTTTATTATTGCTAGAATATTTATACATGTGATCCTTCAGATGAATGGTCCTCACAGTTTGGGAGCCCTGTGTGCATCCAGTGTGTGTGTGTGTTGTTTGTGCTTCTGAAAAAAAAGTGGCAAAGAAGTGTGTTGTGTGTGTGCTGTGTGTGGTGTGTGAGTGGAGAGTGTGGTGTGTGCGTTCTCTATTAACGGCGTCGGTGTGAATCCTGACGGGATGTTTGTCCGTCTGTGTTTCAGGGTTGGACAGCAGGACGTGGACATTAAGCTGTCGGGTCATTTCATTAAAGAGATCCACTGTGTGTTTGTCAGTGAGCTCAACGACCAGGGAGAAGGTGAGACACCTGTCTGTCTGTCTGTCTGTGTGAACCTCCAGTTAGAGACGTTGGTCGTGGTGTTGGTGACTCGGGGTCGCTGTGCTCCGTCTGATTGGCTGAAACTGTTTAGTGTTTATAGTATAATCAGCTGATTTCTGTCTGAGACAGGATCAGGACACAGAGAGGAAACAGTCTCTGTCCTGTTGTCCTCCTGTCAGTGAGTGGGGTTAGAGCGCCCTCTGGTGGTCAGACTGAACGGAGCACCAAAAGCACCTTAAAATGGATTATATGAACTTTCTCAGTCTTACACAAACTACACGTTGTATTTATGTTCTTTTATAAATACAAAAATAAGGCAATAAAAGATAAAGATCAGATAAAAACACATTTCTTCATCTGAATGAAATGAAACTTTGGTTTGTATGTTAGTTTGATACAGATCTGTAGCACAGACCTCCATAGTGGACAGTATAAAACCTATTGACACTGTGTGATGGATGTATCATCATCTATATAATCTATATCTATATAAAATATATATGTGTGAGAAACTCTTCATTTCCAAGTTTGATCAATAATCATTCCTGCTGCTGACACTGAACGTCAGTGTCCAACCCCCTGGAGGTTTTATCCAGAGATAAAGTTTACAATAAAGTTTATTTAAACAGGACACATATATACATATATATATATATATACAGCCTTTAACTGTTAATACTTCTTTTAATCAAACCAACAATAACAGCCTTCAGTGCTCCTCTCTCCTCTCTGTAATCCTGGAGAATATTCCACTGAGTGTGAGAGGAAGTATTGATTTACATTAAAGATGAACTGCTTTCATTCAGCGGGAGCTTGTGATCGATACAGTCATGTGATACAAGACGAACGTGTTATTTCTGGTGTGTTTGTGTGTGTGTGAGAGAGTGTGGTGTGTGTGTGTGTGTTCAGTGAGTGACTCTCTCTTTTTCTCTCTCTATAAAAGCTGCCAGGAAATCTGTCAGGTATCGTCTTAACAGTCGGTGTTACTAGTTACCATGGTGACGTCACCTTCATTATATTCATTGTTTCCTGTGCCCCCCCACCCACCCTCACCCCCACCTACGACCCCCCCATACTCCCCCTGTGTGTGTGTGTGTGTGTGTGTGTGAACCCATC